TGGTATGTTTTCAGTCTTAGTGTGTCTATTGATGTTTGTCTTGTGTCCCAGTATGTGATCGATCCTAGACAATGATCTGTGTGCACTTGAGAAAAATGTGCACTTAGATTTTTTTGGGTGCAGTGTTCTATAGATGTCTGTTAAGCCCATGAGGTCTAGATCCTTATTTAGAGCTTATTTAGAGCTTTAATGTCCTTACTTATTTTTTGTCTCGGTGATCTATCCGTTGTTGAGAGTGGTGTGTTGAAGTCTCCTACTACATATGTATTTTCTCTGCTGTCTGTTTTCAGAGATGATAATAGTTGTCTGATATATTTTAGTGCTCCTTCATTTGGTTAGTATATGTTAATGAGTGTTATGTCTTCTTGATGTATTGTCCCCTTAATCATAATGTAGTGACTGTCTGGGTCTCTTTTTACCTTTTTTAGTTTGAGGCCTATTTTATCTGATATAAGTATAGCTGTTCCTGCCTTCTTTTTTGGTCCATTTGTTTGTAGGATTGTTTTGTATCCTTTTACTTTCAGTCTGTTTTTTATCTTTTGTGTTTCCTGAAGACATCAAAAGACTGGGTTCTGTTTCTTAATCCAGCCTGCCACTCTGTGTTTTTTTATTGATGAGGTTAGTCCATTTGCATTTAGAGTTAATATTGATACATTGGCGTCTGTATTTGCCATTTTTGTTTGTCTTTTTGTGGTTTTATTCCTTGTCTTGTTTCGTTCTTGTTCATCCCTGTTGATTCTGGCTGTAGGACTTCTTGTAATATTTTTTGGAGTGAGGGTTTAGTTGAAATGAAATTGTAGAGTTTCTGTTTGAGAAGGTCCTTATTCTTTCTTCATAGAGGAAGGAAAGCTTTGTGGGATAAAGTATTCTTGGTTGGCATTTGTTGTCTTGGAATTTGTTGACTATGTCCCTCCACTCTCTTCTTGCTCATAGTGTTTCTTCAGAGAAGTCTGATGTCAGCCTGATTGGTTTTCCTTTGTATGTTATCTGTTTCTTCCCTCTTGTCAGCTTTATTATTTCTTTCTTGTCTTGGATTCTTGGGTTTTACTATTATGTGTCTTGCTGTATTTTTTCTTTCATCATGGAAGTTTGGTGTTGTTCTTGCTTCTTGTATGTCTATTTTCAGCTCTTTCTTCATTCTCGGGAAATTCTCTTTATCTCCTTGAGAATTTTCTCTGTTCCTATGTTTCTCTCATCTCCTTCTGGGATTCCTGTAACTTATATTTCCTTTTCTCATGGAGTCAGATATTTCTCAAAGTGTTTCTTCATCCATTTTCCTTCATACGTCTCTTTCCTTTTCTGCTTTAGTTCTTTTTATTTCTGTATCTGAGAGTACTGGTTTGTTCTTCCATTTCATCTATTCTGTTTTCATTGATTTTCCTGAAGTTCTTTAGCTCCTCCATTAATCTTTTAATCTCCTGTGTTTTTTTCACTTCCCTCTTTAGGGACTCAATTTCATTCTTCTGATCTTTGATTATTTTTCTCATATCATTCTTTTCCTTTTTGTCTTCCTTTGGTTTTTTAATCATGGCAGTTTTAAAATTCTCTATCTAGAAGGCTAAGAAGTTCTTCCAAGTCACTGTTGTTGCATTCTGGTGGTTGGTTTTCTTTTTGTGGTGTGTCCTTTTCCTGAGGACTTGCTTGGTGGTTTGTAATTTTTCTTCTCCCTGCTGTTTGTTTTTTAATTTGTCCTATGCTTTGGGAAACTGTGTCATTGGTACTGGCAGGCATCTTGGGGTACTCCTTTTGGGATGTCGGAAATTGGTGGCCCAGTCGAGTCCAGTAATGTTATGCCAGAACTCCAGTAGGGCAGTGGTACTATGGATATATTGATGGATGCTGTCCCTGAAAATCCCCTCCTTCTGTATTTACTTAGTTCCAGAGGGGGAGTCTTGAGGTCTCGGGGTCTGCCCCAATGGTGGATGGATCCCCCTCTGGGCTCCAAATAATGGTCAGGCACGGGGCCTGGCTTGCGCATGCTTTTCAGCTCACCTCTGACTGAGGGGATAGCCCTTTCTCAGTTCCACAGAGATTTTGTGAGGTTCCTGACCCAACGCTCCCTGTCTTGTGACTTGGCATCTGGAATGGTTTGTTAGTATTTTGTTGAGGATTTTTGCATCAGTGTTTGTAAAGAATTTTGGTCTTCTGTAGTTTTTCTTACAGTGTCTTTGGCTTTGGTATTGGGACAATGTGTTACAAAGCAGTCCCTCCTCTTCATTTTTCTTACAGAATTTGGGATGGATTGATAAAGTGCTTTTAATGCTTGATAGAATTCACAGTGAAGCTGATAGGTTCAGACTTTTTTTTCTGGGAGGTTTTCAGTTACTGATCCAATCTTATTAGTTTGTTTTGAGATAAACAAGAACTTGTTTTCCTTAACCCATTTTAGCTTCACCTTAAGCCAGCTAACAGAAAAAGGACACAAGTGAGAAAGATGGAGGGTGTCATGGGGAAAAAAAAATAGTGTGGCATATAGCAGTGGAAATCTCATCTGTGTTCACATGCATAGCCTCTTGCCTCTGGAGTATGTTCCAGAAGTCTCTCTGTGCTGCATCTTTAAGGGTCCTGTAACTGTGGTAAGGATGCAGCCTTAGGGAGTTAACCATAGCAAAGTGGTTCCAAGTGACCAAGGTCAGGTCCTCATGAGTCTGACCAGCTGGCTTTCCAGCCATTTTTCTCAGAATTGTTTATTATGCTGATGGAGCTTATGGACAGTCAGCTGAAAACCTGCTTGAGGCTGCTGCCTGCTCCCCAACCAGAAAATTGGAGACTGGACAACTGTTAGTTCTGGGGCCCCTTCAGACCCTCCAAATTATCTGTAATCTTCACTTCAGGAATGGTATTGGCTAATGGGAGGCCATGCCCAGGTTGGGTGTTAGGTGTGAGTGTTCACAGGTGCTGGGTTCAGACATAGCTGACCCAGGAAAGCTCTGTTGCTGTAAGACACTGTTAAATTTCTCAGGACAAAAGTATTATGAACACAGTTACCTAGAAGCAAGGTCCCATCTTGTAGGTGAGGAAACTGAAAGTCACACCCTGATTTTCCTGTGTAAGTGGGACTGCAGAAGAGCTGAGTGCTTCTGTGTTGAATGTTTTTCTTTGATTTCTGGGACACAGCAGAAGACAGGAACCTTTGGAGGAATGGCATCTGAGGAGTGTCTCTCTGCTCACAAAACAGTGCCTTAGCTTGGAGCAGCCACTTACAGTATTGTTCTTGGCCATGCTGGGCCCAGAGCCTGTACCAAGTCCCCTGGCTCAGGTCAACTATGCTCTGATCAGAAGCTTAGTGCTGCTGAAGTGTGAGCCATCACAGTGCTTCTGCAGGGCCGGTCCCTCCCCTTTCTGAGGAGTGAAACATTATATAGGGTGATACAGGTTAAGGCTGGGGAGGTAGGTAGGAACATGGCCCCAGTGCTGCGCACCTGCTTGGGAGTTCTGATCCTATTTAGTCTCTGAGTCCACCTAGAGTCCAGCCACCACTCACCACCCCACCCCACTGCTGCAACTATTAGGGGGAAAGGATGTCCTGAGCTAATTCCATGCAGGCTTTGTGGACTCCACCCCCACTCCAGACCAAAGCCATCAGGACACTGGGAAAGACAAATCCCATCACCACCAAAGGGAAGGTTGCTGGGACCTGAAGGTGGAGTTAAGCAGCCAGGTTTGGTATAAAAACCAAACACGTGGGCCTTGGGGGGTCTTGCTCTCTTGCTCGCCTCCTGGGTTTCACGGCTCCTGGCTTGCAGCCAGCTCTCAGAGTGCCATTTGGGATTCCAGATCGGCAGATCGGGTAGGATGCATTTAAAACTTTGTCTCCCACTTTTTTTTCCCTGAGTTATACATTTCCTCATTTGCCCTTCCCTTGTAAATAAGCCTTTTATTAACCTTTTGTGTGTGCCTGCAGTAGAGTATTGATAAGTCCTTTTAAGCGCGCGGGTGAGGACCCCCAGTCAGGCACCCCGTTTTGTATCAGGGCTGCCCTATAACACCACCACCACCAGGACTTGTTACAGGAAATCTCAGTGGCATTGTGTCTTTCCTTTGCTCAAAACACCGTTTTGTGAAGGAAGCTGAAAGACTCACCACAGGAGCCAGGTGACTGGATCTCTCAGCTTACTCATTATTCCTAAAATGCCACCTTTCCTGGGCCAACCCTGTATTTCCTGACTGTCCCTTCCTTTTTCTCCTTAGCACTTGTGCCATCTGATACACCACACATTTGCATATTTAACTTGCTGTGTCTTGTGTGTCTCTTCACCATAGTCAACCCATGAAGATGAGATTTCCTCTGTTTTACACACCATTGTATCCCCCAGGTTTCTCCTTGCTAGGTATGCATGTGTAGCTTTCAATAGGTGAAAACATTAATCACCAACTGGCAGAGGACAGGCAACCCATTCCACAGGATGTGTGTCACCTTGTGGTCACAAGGACTCCTGGTGTCATGCCTGGGCCAGAACTGGGTATGGACCACTGGGCTCCCTGGTCCTTAAGTCCTGTTTGATGTGTTTCTGTGGACTGCCTGCCGCTTCACAGTCTTTCTGGTCCCATAATGCTGACATGGTTCACCCTGCATTTGATTCCGGTTGGGGGACAGGTAGCTCTTCTGATTCCCCTCTGAGACCCTGTTTTCATTCCCTGGAGAAAGGAAAGGACTGAGGAAACTTGGCTGCAGTGAACAGAATGTGGTGCACAAAGCTGAGGCCAGGGCAGGGAGCTAGGGAACTGGGATAGAGGTGAGGTGGAACTCAGTGCCTTCCTCTGAGAGCGACTGCTGAGCCAGAGCACTTGTGGAAGCCCCGGGAGGTTTGTGGGCTCATTTTTCAAATAAGAAACTGCAGCCAGGGCAGGGGGCAGCCCTAGTTCTCAACAGGTAAATACAGGGCAGTGTCCGGCCCAGCCTAGCAGCCCCAGAACAGACTGCTCCACCTCCTTGAGGCCTCCCTGGGGTGGACATAATTCTGACTGCTCTAACTTACATGCTTTGTTTTTTGCCCCAGCTGAACATCCACGTGGGAAACATCTCGCTGGTGGACCAGTTTGAGTGGGATATGTCAGAGAAGGAGAACTCACCGGAGAAGTTCGCCCTGAAGCTATGCTCAGAGCTAGGGTTGGGCGGCGAGTTTGTCACCACCATTGCCTACAGCATTCGGGGACAGCTGAGCTGGCATCAGAAGACCTATGCCTTCAGGTAGGATCATTTGCTCATTGACAAATCCCTTACTCATTCCTCTGCAAATCTGTCTTGGAGGGACGATGCCTCTAAGTGTATATTGATGCCTTGGGGACCTTCTGGAGCCTCAGAGTAAAATGCAGTCTAGCCACCAGTGGCTCCAGTCGGAATAGTGACTCATTTGTTGACTTGCTCCTTCTGCCTCAAGTGTCACAAGGTTCCCCTACCCACCTTGAGCTGAACTGGGACACATTCTACTGGCATCAGCTCTTCTCCTTTCTGTGCTGCTTGTAGACTGTCCTCTACTGGGGCTGCCCACCCCAGGGTTCTTCAACTGATGGACTTGCCTTCTCTTTCAAACAAGGGCTACTGCATAGGGCCCTCCCAGCTCTCCAGAGTCAGGGGCTCCCAGCAGCTTCTTTTTACTGTTGTATCTTCTTGTGGTCGTTCAGTTGAGACTTGTTCGTTGGTGGGCATCCATGTTGGTTCGACCCCACACTAGGTGTCATGGAAAATAGAGCTGCATCCAGCTGCTTGAGAAGGTGGAAGTCCAAACATTCTGTTTCAGTGTCATGTGTACTGAGGTGAGGGCTCCTTGAGAGACAGATATGACATATCTGTTGGTGGTGGGGCAGCAGTGTGGGCATGGGACAGTGTGACCAGGAGACAGGAGCTGGGCAGGTGTTCACTGAGTAGCGTCAGGGCTGTTCTGTGATTTCTAACCCTACCCCCTGAGCTGCTTTTTTTTATTATTTAAGATTTATTTTGTTTTTATTTATGTATCCAAGAACTGGGGTATAGGTCAGAGGTGTGGGGGGCGAGAAGATTCACTAGACACAGAGTGGGGAGCAGAACAGGTGGATCTACTGAAAGACACAGCTTAGAGGAGCAACGGGTGAGATAGGAGTGGCTCCAGTGGCTCCATTCAGAATAGTGGCTCATTTGTTGACTTGCTCCTCCTGCCTCAAGCGTCACAAGGTTCCCCTACCCACCTTGAGCTGAACTGGGCCACATTCTACTGGCAGCAGCTCTTCTCCTTTCTGTGCTGCTTGTAGAGGTCTGCTGCACCATGTGGGTTAGCTCCCTGGATGAGAATTGAACTCATGTCACAGTGGCTGGCACTAGCTTGATAGCACTGAGACTTTAACCTCTGTGCCACCAAGGAAACCCCACCTTGCCCCAAGCTTCTTTTCCTCACTGGGATGTTTTCAGGGCAAGAGTGATGCTGTGTACCCCTGCATCAAAACAGATGTCAGGCTGTTGTGCACATTTGGTGGTCATTACTTAGGGATTACGGCTTAAGACAGTACATGATGAGCAAGTGCAAAGATCTTTTTGCAAAAACATGAATCCTAATGGAGCTTATTAGTAAGTTTGGTCTCAGCTGGTTCTCTCAGAAATCTCAAGAGACAATTTTCTTGTGACTTCCTGTTACTGAGCAAGATAAAAGGAATGACTTTTCATGTGTAGGGTGTGATGTTCCAGGCCTGGGAAACTGCTAAACTCCCTGGGGAGCTGAGTCTTGCCTGACCTGTGCTCTGGGCTCCTGGGCTGAGGAGGGCACATCTGTCACCTCCTATAACCTCCAGCAGCTCTGGCAACCCAGTGGTTCAATCCCAGAGAGGAGGCTTCAGGAGCCAGAGTGGTGGTATCTGGTGGGCACGGCAACATGTGTGGTTCACATAGTGCCCTAGTGAAGACTCCAGGCCTAGACCAGCAGAGGTGATGCTGTGCAGGTCCTGAGAGTGACATGGACAAGTACCTCTATGATGCTCATCGAGTCAGAACCCCAATTCTGATAGGCACGTATATGTGGGTGGGGCGTGTCACAGACCTCTATTACTCCATGGTCTCAGTGCTGAGTCTGTAGGGTTTGTGTCCTCAGAATCGAAGATGGGGTCTATCTTCTGGAGACCAGGATGTGCATGCATTACTTCTGCAGCAGTCCAGGCCAGACAGAGAGGAATCTGGGCAGTGTCCAGGGCACTTCTTTTGGCATTAGGCATGTTCCCGGTGTTTTCCCAGCTGACCAGACTTCATGACCTCCTCACACTGGGCCTGGCCTATTGTGTGTACTGTGTTTTGTCTGGGCAGCCAGATACTTTGGGAGAGCTGATGAGGACAGGAAGGGGAACTTAGGGTCATAGATTAGCTCCTCATCCAGGCCTGCTGCAGTGAGTGAGGGACTAGAACTTGTGTCTTCTGACCCTAACCAGCATTCTTCCTATTGCATCATACCACCCCTCGGAACCTCCCCGCCAGGGAGAACACCACCAGCTCTTCCCTGCTTTTCAGGCCTCTGCCTATGAAAAGGACAGTGGCCTCCTGTGAGCGAGAGCCAGGGGCCCTTGGCAGTCTGAGCCAGAAGCTCTAGCTTGTTGTCTCCCATGCATAGCAAATAAGATACACGACTCCTTTTTTATTTATTTATATTTTGCATAGAACTGGGGTGTGGGCCAGAGGTGCCCTGGGTGTGAGAGGATTCACCAGAGACTGTATAGGGAGCAAAACAGGCCAATTGACTGAAATACACTGATAAGGGGAGCAGCAGGTGAGACAGGAGAGGTCTGCTGAGCCATATGTGGGTTAGCTCCCTGGCCAGGGTTGGAACTCGGGCTATATCAGTGATAGAGCTGAGACTTAACCCTTATGCCACCAGAGAGGCCCTCATGTGACTCCTTAGAAGGGGCTTCACATTCTGGGCCTCCATCTCCCCAGGTTGGAAACACTCTGAATGCTATGAGCCGGTCCTTTCCATCTCCCACAAATGGTGCCCAGCCTCTGACTGTGGTGCCCTCCTCAAGCGATAGTGACATTGAGTTGTGTTCATGGTGGAGTAAGAAAAGCTGCTGGTCACAGGTTGTGTGTGAGCAGGGGCAGGATGCCCACAAGTCAAGGGGAAACGGAAGAGAACAGGCTGTTTCTTCTCAGCAGTCGATGGGCAGGCCTGATACAAGTGGAGGCAGGAATCACAGCTTTAAGTGGCACAAGGAAGAAACAAGGGCACACGGCAAATTCCTGGAACACAGAGCTGGACCAGAACAACATAGAAACGACCTAGAGCCAATGGAACAAGAACAGAGACAGTGGCATGAGGCACAAGACTGGACTGGGAGAGGGCTCTGATTGGGCTGGGCAGGGCACAAGTGTGAGGGTGTTAGACATTGACCAGTATGTGTGTGTGCCTGTGAGGAGAGTTCCAGCCAGCAGTCAACAGCATGTTCTCTGGGCCAACCCTATGTCTAAGCTGATGACACAAAGAAACAGCACCCCATCTAGCAGAGACCAACAAAGGCACCAGAAGCTGTTGGCATGGGGAAGGGGCAGTGTGTGTGGATCTCCTAGAGTAAAGTGGCCAGTATAGTATTGCTGGGTGGGAGGGGTCCAGGGATAGGCAGGTGCTCACCAGCCGACTTTTTGATTCTGGCAGTCTGTGGTTTTGGTTTGCATTTCCCTAATGACTCTTGCTAGTGGACAGCTTTTCATGTGCGATTAACCAGTTGTATATCTTGGGGAAGAGGCTAAATTCCTTGGTTTATTTTAATTGTCTTTCCATTATTGAGTCTAAGAGTTCTCTATAGATCCTTAGGACATGTGATTTGCAAATATTTTCTCATTTTGTGGATTGTCTTTTTTCAGTTTCGTGGCAGTATCATTGACGTACAAAAGTTTAAAAGTTTAATGTAGTTCACTTTTGTCTATTTTTTTCTTTTATTGCACGTGCTCTAAGTGTGATACCTAAGAAATCATTGCCTAATCTAGGGTCTCTTCCCAGCACTGTTTGTTGGAAAAACTGCTCTTTCTCCATTGAGTGGACTTGGCATCCTTGTTGAAAGTCAGTTGATCGTAAACAGTTACGTCATTTGTCTCCTCTTTTTAGTTGTGCACCCGCAGGCAAGTCATTTCCCCTCATTGTCTCTTCCTCTCACAATTAAACTGTTTATAAAGAAGGCATGGTATTGCTGCTCAGCTGGCCTGTTGTATCACGTATGAAGGAATAAAAATGGGATCACATTGCAAATGAACCTCAAGATGCCCTGCAAGCTTTAGTCTGGGACCTCTGTCCCCTCAGCCATGGCTTTCCCCTCCCTAGGCTCTGGGTCTCACCTGGCCACGGGAGTGGGAGGAATGTCTGGAGTCCCAGGGGGCCTGGAAGTCGAGCAGAAAAATCCCCTGAGGGGTAGGAGACTGGGCAGTTCTGCTTGCATGTCTCCCCCAGGCCCTAGCCAGGCCTGTTGGCTCTCAGCCCTTTCTTACATGGTTGACTCAAGCAGTTCCTATTTTAGAACAGCCCACTGGAGTGGAATCTTCCAGAGCCAAAAGGAGGTAAACACCACTCACCAGCTCTTGTTTAAATTAAGAGGAAAACTTGTTTTGCTCCCCTCAGCGTGGGCTTGGCGCCTTTCATGTCTGCCTTCCCAAGGAAGGGGGGAGCCCTCGAGGTGAGGAATGATGTTTGGGTCTGTGGCTAGGCAGTTCCTGGATTGCCAAACCGCCACACTGGTTTGAGAACAGCTGTCAGGAGCTGCTGAGGAAGGGTCTGCCCAGGGTGCCACAGGATGGGGGCTGACGCTGCCTAGTCAGTGGCCTGAGTCATCAGCATGAGTTTGGGCAGCCTGCCCAGCTGGAGTATAGAAAAAAGGGCCTGGACAGGTCAGAGTGGTGACAGTAGGAAGGAGTTAAAATCATGTTCTGAGGCACATCTGCCAGGTTGGGGATTTGGGCATCAGCCCCGAAGGTAGGAGGAAAACGGGCTTTCCTGGCAGCTCCTGTCCCTTCAGCCTCTTGTCACAGACTTGGAAACCAAAGCCCAAAGAGGTGGCAGCCCCAGGCCCTGCTTCCTACCCACACTTTCCCGCCCCTATCCTCCAGCTTTGAAGCATGTGCCCTGCTGACCCCTGCAACCCAACACTGTGTCCACTTATTAAGAGGGTGCGCAGGTGGCCTTCGGGTAGAGTCAGAGCAGTGGCTTATCACTGGTCCTAGTCCTGGACACTGAATGGGCAATAGCCCTCTTCCCTGTTTCCCCCATCACCCCCAGCCAGGCTGTGATAACACCAGCCCAGCAACACTGTACTGTCAAGGGGAACCACCTCCACAACATCTGTCTCTAGGACTGAGATGCTGTGATAGCTGGGGTGGCAGCAAAGAGCCTGCTGAGAGTCTGCTTTGAGAAGAAGCCCACAGGATCTTGGGGGCAGCACTATTGTTGCTGGGAGAGGTCCTGGCATCTCCAGAGGCTCTGCTTTGATGTTTGAGTGACAGGAGCACCCTGGCCATTCTGCTCAGGAATACTGCTCTGAGGAGTTGGCACTGAGATGGATCCACCAAGGAGGAAGAAGCAGGAAAGGCCTGTGCCTTCCTGCCATGTCCTGGCTCCAGTGCTGTTTGCTGAGCTCTGCAAACAGTGGGAGGGGTTGGACAGTGATTTCTGTGGATGTTTTCAGCTACAACTTTTAAACTATCAGTTGCTCTTCCCTGCCCCCGCCCCCAACAGTGAGAACCCCCTACCCACGGTGGAGATTGCTATCCGGAACACAGGCGACGCTGACCAGTGGTGCCCACTGCTAGAGACTCTGACAGATGCTGAGATGGAAAAGAAGATTCGAGACCAAGACAGGAACACGAGGTACTTCCCCTGGTCCCCTGTAGTAGGCTCTGCCCTACCAGGCAGTGGTAGGGGATGTTAGCTTTCCCTAGTGATTTCTGAGGGACCTCAGAAAACCTTCTCAGGAAGAACCCCTATCTAGCCCGCCAGGAATGAATTTCCTTGTAGGGCACAAAAGTAAGCCCTTAGGTCGGATTTGACCACAGCCCACACCTGGTTATACAGATCCCTGCAGAGGGGGGTGGAACCTGGGCAGGTAAGAGAGAGGGCAGCTTCAGGGGACCAAGTGGTAGACAGCCCCAGGCCAGGGGAGGGGCTGGGTCCCTGCTCCCACATCTGCTTACCCTAGAGAGTTCTGGGGAAGGCAGTTACCCAAGGCTGGGAGCTAGCCCTGGGTCACCATCCTTTCCCCTCCTCTAGGCGTATGAGGCGTCTCGCCAACACCGCCCCAGCCTGGTAACCAGCCCATCAGCGCTTGGCTCCCACAGTGTGTTCAGAAGATGGAGCCACCTCTCCTTCATCTGGCGAAGAGGGAGGCAAGGGGGCAGCCTGGGCAGCCCTGAGGAGCACAGGGCAGGGAGCCTTCCAGGTGACCCTCCCTCCAGGCACACATTCCATTTGCTGAGCTCTGGTCCCCAGCACCCCAGTCTCTGGTTGGGAAGAGGCCTTGTCTGGGGTTGTGTTTTGTTTTTTTAAAGGAGCCCCAGACAGGGCTAGCAACACTTTTTAAATAAAAGGAGCAGGTCCTGTTCCATTTCTTCAAAGTGGTAATGTAAGAATAAGAATGGGAGAGAACAAGATCCCCCCTAGCTGAGTGATCTGTGGCCAAGGCTGGTGTGCTAGGCCTCTTGCACTTCTCGAGTTCAGGTGGACAGGTGGGGGGATGGTTGGGACCCAGGACTCTACTTAGTCACCCTCACCCCTCCCAGGCTCCTGAGTCTGAGCATAATCCTTACTTTTCCTTTAGTCCTCCATTTTCCCACCAAGATCCATGCTTGGCTCATCCTTGTAGAGGGGGAAATGAGAAATGTGGTCAGGAGTCTCCTCGGGCAGGGGGTCAACTTGCTCTTTCAGTGACAGCCCTTATCTCCAGACCCTTTGCTTTGAAGTAATAACAGACGCTCCCACTATCCCTGGGTTCTGCTGTGTCCAGTCAGTCCCTTGCAGAGGCCTGTCCCATGTAGGCACTGTAGGGAACATATCCGGCCAGGGTCCCTGTGGACCTGTGCTGGCTGGTCCAGCTCTAGCAGGTATGCACCACTCACTATACCTCCCAACAGCACACTCAAAGTAGGCAGCTGGGGTGCAGTCCCATCCCTGGCTAGTGCTGGGGCCTGGGCTGGCTCTTCCCTTCTGGGCACTTGTGAGGAATAAGCATATCCAGCAGTTCAGCCATGCACGGCCCAGTGTTGGGTCTGTGGGGTGAGTTGGTAGGTAGGAAAGGAGGCACGGCTCTGGGTCTCTTCCCAGCTCTGCCTCTGATCAGCTTGCTGCATCCTTGTCTCTAAGGTGGAAGTATCCATACCACAGAAGGGATCTGGGGTCCATGAGGATGGCATGTGTAAGTCTCCTACTTAAGCCAAGCACTGCTTAGTGGTCTGGGCACACAGCTGCAGTCTTAACTGAAGAGAGTGGGCCCAGTCCCCTGGCACCTTTGGATGTCAGGGCAGCTCTATTCCCTGAGGGCCTGAGAGGGAACCTGTGGCATCTGGCTCCCAACCTGAGCCCCATATCGAGGGGACAACTGGCAACCTTAGAAACCAGTGGGCTCCATTGTTAAGGTGTTCAGTTTGTGTGCAATACAGTCCTGTGCCCTCACAACTGGTCTGATGAAATGAATCCTGTTTGCCTGAAGTCCACTGGGCAGGCTGGCCTACCTACACAGGAGAGGCCTAGGAAAGAGCCTTCATCTGAGCACTGCCAGCCCACACCACTGCAGAGCTCTACAAGGTTTCACTACAAGATTAAGGTCAGACTGGTGAATTTTTTGGCATCCATGAACATGACAGCTTATGTCTGGAGGAGTTCCCATACTATGTTCATCCAGAAATACACCATAATGTTAGTCTAGGGCAACACAAATAGCTGTCCAGGTCTTCAGATGCCCACTTTACAGAAGAGAAAAGTGAGCTGCAGGATTATATAAAGTTTCCGTGGTCCTCAGCAAAAAATGGCAGGGCCAGAACTTGAGAGATAGCTGCTGCCCCTGCTAAGATGAAAACTCAAGGCTTTGGAGTCACAGAAAGGGCAGAGGACTGGTCCTGACCTTCCTTTGCACCTGACCCCAGGGACCTTCCCCAAGTCTGTTAGCTGCCCAGCAGGAAAATGGGCAAAGAACCACTTGTTACTGGTAAGGGACAGGAAGGGAGCAACTGAGACATCAGCCTAAAGGCACCACAGGCAGAAGCCCCCAGAATGGGCTTCTGGCAAATGGGGACAGACTAGTCCCAGACTTTGCTATGCAGATCTGTCTATCCTCCATGCTGACTGGCAGGAGCAGAGGCCCATCTGGGTACTGGGAGGGATTTGTCAAGGGCTCCACCAAGGCACTGACCAGGCTGGGATAAAAATCCCAAATGTGCCTCTGTGAGGTCATCTGCATCTGCTGGGCAACCACAGGCAGGTTCTTAATGTTCTGAGCTTCTCATTCTATCTCCTACAATTGGCCTGAGAGGGCAGGCCCCATTTGGCAGGAGTAAAACTGCCCTGTACCAGCCCCAATCCAAGAGCAGAGGGTAGGCAGGGCCCAACCGGATTTGGTGGCCTAAAGTGCCTGCCCAGCTTGGCATGATGTGCCAGCTGAGACAGGGGAAACCAGTGCCATGCGTGGAGACTGCAGATCATTTTGTTTATTTGGGTGAGTGTTGGGTACAGGCCCAGCCTCCAGAAGAGGATGCTCTGCTGCAAGAAGGGGTTAGGCGTGGGATGGAGGTCTGCCAAGAAAACATGCTTTGTGGCCTTGCCCTGACCCTAGGTAGGGTCATTGTGGCAGGGTTTCTGGCTGCTCCTCAGGGAGGGGCAGATAATTGGTATCTTCGTCTGGGGTATCCAGTAGCAGCTTCCTGTGGGGAGGGACCAACACTGAGTTGAGGCCCCGGTGGGACCCCGATGAGGTAGGGAACCTTGTAAGGTAGAGTAGGGGAATGATGTCATCTGCAGCACTCACAGGAAACCAGGGGTCAGCAGCAGCCTCTTGCCTCCAGGCTGGTTGGGGAAGACATCCTCCAGGAAGTAGTAGATATGGCCCACAGCAATCCCTGTGAGAGAGCCTCAGACTGCTGAAGCCACCCTCCATGGTCCAGTGCTTGAGGTCAGCAAAGCCTACTCCAGGCCTCTGTGTAGAGCTCTATCGGCCCAGCCAGGCCCAGAGTAAGCTTAAGCCCTGGAGCGTGAATGCCCAACGTCCTATACAGGCTGCCAGCCCAGGGCAGAGTCAGGGTTGACCTTGAAGGACAAGCTTGCAGGGCCCAGCAGTGGGCAGAATTTGAGTAGAGCCTGAGACACTAGAAATAGGAGCCATGGCTGGAAGCCTGACCCAGCCATTCCCCACCTGGTCAGGAGCCACACAAGCATCAGCAGGTGGTGCCTAAATATGTGAAGCCTGTAGGCCAGCTAATTTGTTTAAGAGACTGCCAACAGATGCCGGGAGGGCAGAAAGAAGAGCTGGGGGCACAGATGAGGTTCAGTGCAGGTGGGAGGGAAGGGCTCTTAACAAAGCAGCCAGCCTGGGGTGGCCCTTCCCCATAACTTCAGGTACAGACAGACTTGCTTGGGATGGGCTGGATGGACAGACAGGCTCACCCAGCAGGTCCACGAGGATGGAGTTGCCCAGCAGCAGTGAGAAGCCCATGAGTGCCCAGGGCAGGAATGGCGCCTGAAGAGTGAGGAGGCCGAAGAGGTTGACCCTCACCTGAGGGCTGCGGCGACTCCATACATACACCAGCATGGCTGTGAGGGCCTGACCTAGGAAGAACAGGCTACCCAGGAGTCCCAGGAGCTGAGCCAGAGTCAAGGTGCTGAGAGGCCCTCCTCTGGTGCAGGCCAAGTTGGCTCCTGCCTGGGGTCCTCTGACTTACCAATCCTCACACTAGTTTCCCATCTCTCATCACCCCTATATGCACCCTTCCATTCAAGGCCAAACTAACTCCCAGGCCCAAAGTATCTTCCCTGCCTCCCACCTCATCTCTGTCTCCAGCTGCCGGTTACCCCCGACCCAGGTTCTCCCGACCACTGGTGTTTAGGGTTCAGCACCCCATTTGGCTCTTTGGCCTATCGCCTGGTGGTATTTTGTGCTGTGGTACAGCACTGAAGATCTAGTCCAGGCCCCTGAGCAAGCACAGGATGTATGCCTGATGATGCCTAAGCTGGAGTGATGTCCCTCCCCGGCCCCGGCGCTCACATCAGGGCCTGAGACCAACAAAGGCTGGAACCAGAGGCGCTGTGTTTGTAGAGTCCGGGAAGGATACGGTCATAAGGATGCCTCCGAAGAGAAACATGAAGACGAAGTCGGCCGTGCGGCCGCGGAAGGAACCCTCCTCCAGCATGCGGCAGTATCGGAACCTGCGGCTTTCGTATAGGAAATGCCACCTGGCGGGGCCTCGGTTTCCCCGCTCCCGACCTCCTTCAGCCCTTCAGCCCCTCCCACTCCCGCCTGGGTCGCGGCGCAGGATACACGAAAAGCATGTTGAAGAAGAAGCTGAATCCCAGAGGCCCGAAAAAGAGGAAGTTGGTGACGAGCCTCCAGACCTGCGAGGGAGTGGGGCGGGCAGTCAGGCGCGGCGCGGGGCGGGGGCTGAGCCGGCAGGTGCAAGGGGCGGGGTGGTCTCACCTGGAACTTCCGGAACACGAGGTGCGGGTTGAAGTAGAGCTGGAAGGGGCTGAGAAGCTCCAGCTGCTGCGGAACCAGGGGAGGGTCAGGGGCTGCCCCGGGGAAATCCATCTGTAACCATGAAAACCCCTCGCTCTAACCATGGCGTCGCCCCACCCTCCCGGGCCTCTTACCACTGCGGCGGTGGTAAGGACGCAGGCCGCGGTGTAGGCCCGTGTCACCGCCGGCACCTGCAGGAACTCGGCAGCCAGTCCCCTCCACGCCATGGAGCCGTCTCTGCCCCCGGGGCCAGACCCGCGGCGTGGTCTTTAATCTCTCCAAGTCCCGCCTCGCTCCCTCTGCCAATCCGCGTCGGAGGCACGCGGGGTGGGCGGGGCCCTGGGCCCTGGGCCCTGTAACCAATAGAGGAAGGAAGCGGGAAGCCTGGAGTAGGATGGGGATGAGCCTGGGGGCCAATGAGTAGGCCCCACGGGTGAGCACGTGGCGATTGTTGTGGTAGCCGTGGGGGCGGTGCAAGAGAATATGTAGCCAATGGAAGCTGGCCTGCTTCGCGGCCTTCTTAGAGGAGGACCAATAGCGAAGACCCACGGCGCCACCATGGGGGCGGGACTAAGGTTACTCGGTTAGGGGAGAAAAGACCGGATACAGGCTCCGTGAGACCGGAAGGGGGAGGAGACGGGTGAGGGCGGAGGGGAGCTAAGCACGGGGCTAGCGCTGGTCCACCTTTGTGGGCCAGCGACCAGGTACAAGCTCTTGCCGCTGAGAACCAGAGACAGCGCCTCCTAACCCACACATAGCAAAGGCGATGCTCAGCAGCGTCCCCAAACACCTCCGCCCCTAACATCCAGGAGCCCGTTTGAACATGCCTTGGGACCGATGGGAGTAGAGGCAGGACTGGAGACTTGCAGCCCCTGGCGGGGCGTGAGGGTGTCGCGGCAGACCGGAACAAGTGGACAGACTGGAGAGGCCCTTACTACTTTGGTGAAAGAGAGAGTCCACTTATCCATTCATTAACCATTACTGAGTGACGACTGTGTACCTGCCCTTGTTCTGGATGCTGCAGATTCAGTAGCCAGCAAACGACTATCCCTGCGATGCAGCGGAGGAGACAGGCAATCTGTAGGCCTGTGACAGTACTGACGGGAGTAACAGCAGGTGGGAGATAGTGCAGCGGGCCCAGTGCTCGATGGGGTGATCCAGGAAGCCTGTGAGGTGATGCTTGTTACTTTTTAACAAGTCACTGCGGGTGCTATAAGGACCGCAGACTGCCAGAGGAATCAATTTTGGGGGGGGGCGGGAAATGGGGGGCCACTGCAGAGAACATTGGTGGTTTGGACAAAGTACAGCCTGAAGGGTGATCAGGGATAGTATGTGGAAAAAGTTTTCTCATAGACTAGACAGAGCTGTGAAAGAGGAGTCAATGCTGACTTCCAGGTCTGAGCCACAAGGTGGATGGATGATAGTGGCCTTCAGTGAGATGAAAAATGTGTGGGCAAAGGACAGATGGATGGAGAGTTCTGTCTAGCCTTGTTGAGTGGAGTGTTTGTATGACATGCTCCTGGAGAAATCCAAGTGTGGTTTTGGGAGAGAAGTTGGGCAAGTGGTCTGAGTGTGGGTATCAGTCATCAGTAGACCAGTGGAATTTGTGGCCTTGAATTTGCATGAGGTGCCCCACAGGCAAGACTATAGAGAAGAGAAAAGACAGTGCTGTATAGCCTGAACTTCAGTGGTCAGAGAGAGAGAGACCAACCCAGCCAGGGAGACTAGGGAAGGTTGAAGGAGATGGTCCAGGAGCTGAGCCAGGTAAGGATTTCAGAAGTAAGGCCGTAAGAAGTCCTGGGACATGTGACCAGGGGTCCTGTGGCACGCAGCCATGCCAGGTTCGTTGGTGACTAGAACAGTGGTGGGTATGAAGGAGACGAAGGTGCCAGATGGGTGTGCCTTTACTAACTCAGGGTCTTCAGCCTTGGACAAAAGTGTCCAGAATGAGGCATGCTTTGGTCGGGGCCCTGAAGTCCCTAAGGGCCTCTCCTGAAACGGGGAAGAATCAGCCAAGAAAGTTATGTCAAGTGGATCCCAAGATAATGAGGGTGCTAAGAAAGGTTCCCTAGGAGTGGTTTGTCAGGTGGGAGCAATAAAGGGGGAGGTGCATTTGGCTTAAGAGTAATGAGAGGTCTAGTCTGCCTGATACTGGAGTCGGACCCAGGTACTGAGAGGTTGGGCAGAGGAAGCAGGCTGAGGGAGCCCCCCTTGGAGAGCTTCCATTTCCAGTGAAGCAGGCCGTGGTCACCTTTGTCAGAATAGATCCCATTCACTCTGAGTGCGTGTGAACATATTGGAGGCAGTTGCGTTTTCCTTTTGACAACACATGGTGCTCCACTCAGGCTCTGCACACTCCTCCATCAGAGGCCTTTCCTGGGGGCTGTGAACACATGGATACCCCCAAAACCACAGTGAATTGGCCTCCACCATAGTTCCAGTCAGCCCCTCCCAAGAGCAGCTGTGTCATGTTGGCCCTTCCTGTCTGGGTCATGGGGATATTTTTAGCACTGAATCCGGAACCCACTTAGCAGCAGCTGCTCAGGCCCGTGTGCAACAGCCACAAAGCATCCAGGTGGCCTCTGTCAGGCCTGGGTGGCGGAAGGAGTAACCAGGGCTGGCCTCCTAAAGCTGGTAGCCAAATCTGGATTTCCCAGCAATTAGTGGGTCCCTGGGGGGAATGGGGAGGGAGGCAGCGGATGAATATTAGTCAAACTGTGATGTGGCATGGGGTGGGGGTGGATAGGGACAATGTGGGAGCCAGGAATTGTATGTGACGTGTAAGGCTGTGAAGGGCTGGACCATCTGTCCCACAGGCGGTGGGGAGCGGTTTTGGAACCATCCAGGCTGGGTAGGTTCATTTTCAGTTCTCACAGATGAAAAGATAATTTGGGGGCCTTCAGTAGATTTTTACAGGCCTTTAATACTGAAGCAGGGGACAGACCAGCTTTCTCCTGAGCATTTCTTTGGCTCTCTCCTCCCTGCCGTCTCAGAGTGACCTGCCTCGGCCCTTGGCACAAGTGGCCCCATTTACACATGCGCATGCCTGTACTCTGGGCCCAGGTACCCACAATCACAGGAGGCAGCAAGCCCGTAGGTGCCGGCCATAGAGGCTAATGGCGGGAGGGCTTAAAAAGCCGGGCTTCCCTGGTGGCACAAGGGTTGAGATGCAACCTATGAAGCTATCCACAGCCACTACAGCACGAGTTCGATTCCCAGCCAGCCAGGGAGCAACCCACATGGTGCAGCAAACCTCTCCTGACTCACCCACTGCTCCCCTCAGCAGTGTATTTCAGTCAGTCTGCCTGTTCTGTTCCCCACTCTGTCTCTGGTGAATCCTCTCACCTCCCTCCCTCACACACCTCTGGCCTGTACCCCAGCTCTTGTATGCATAAATAAATAAATCTTTTTTTTAAAAAAAGCCTGATAACTTCATTAACTTCATTTACCTTTTAGGAGCCAGACAGAGTTTCAAGCATGGCGGTAGGTTAGGATTACATCGCACACTTTGGAGGAAGAAGGGGATAAGAGTAGAAATGGTTTTGATACAGGGCAGCAAGGGGCACTGAAATTGGCCAAGGACACTGCCTGAATAGTTGGTCAGTCACTATCTGAGTTCTTCACCCATGCACACAATTGCAAGACTACTCAGGTTCAGAAAACAATAATAATGGGATTTATTTAACAAACCAGGGAAAAACAAAGAGTTACTGAAGACAAAAATGGCCATTTGCCTCACCCGAAGCAATGTCCAGTGTTTTCAAGTCCTAAACAAAAGCAGCTAAGATGGCGTCTTTCTGCCACTGAAGACACAAAGCTCCTCTCCTGAACAATAGGCCACATGCCCAGGATGGTGTCTTCCTGCCACTGCAGGCCTGGAGCACGTAGTAGTCAGACTATAGGCCAGGTTCCAATTCAAAGACAACAGGAGATGCTCCCAGAGCTGCTGAGGTGCCTCAGCACAGCACCACACAAGCGACACTCAAAACAGCATCTGCAGCAACCAAATGACCCAACAAACAGCCACTCATGCAGCTCAGTGAGGTGCCCAGCTCTGGGTCTTCACCTTCAGTGCCAGGCTGTAACAGCAGCAAAACCAGAACAGTTGCAGTCTCTTGGCTACTTGCAAAGCCTTTGAACTTTTCCTCTCTGAGGTTGGCTGCTAAAGGCCTCTCCATGTCTTTCTGAGGCCTGCAACAGCCTTCTGGAAGATGGGTGCAGTGGAGGCTGAAATCACTGACCCTGGAATCACTGAAGATCCAAAAACACTGAATCCCAAACGCTGATGCTCAGACACTGTAGGGTAAATGGAAGTGATCAGGTTTTTCCCGCCCTCCTGCCATTAGCATCAATGATTGACACCTGTGGTCTTACATGCGAGCCTGATGGCAGCACCTGGAGTACAGTGTGGGTGTGCGGGAGTTGGCGCACCTGAGCTTAGAGACTGAGCATAGGAGGGCAGAAAAACCTGATCACTTCCATTTACCCTACATGGGCCATAGCCAGGCCTGTGGCCAGGCTGCTGTGCTTGGTGGCAGATTACTGCCCACCCTGGTCGTCTGGTGCCCAAGGTCAACAGGCCCTCCTAACCTCTGCCCTAGTGCCCCCTGGGGAGGCACCTGGTGTGGGGCTGTGTTCCAGTCCAAGCAGGAAGAACAGGAAAGGCTGCGAAGAGGGCCCTTTGAGTAGCTTTGTACCTATTAGAGTAATGGGTTGCTTCCATTCTGCAGCACTTCCTCAATACCAAGGTTGAATGATGAGTAAACCGAGGCTCAACAAGAGAGGAGGGCCCAGAACTGCTGAGCCCCTTGGTGGGCAAGTGCTAACTACCCCAAACTGTGATGGGAACCCACCTACCACATTCAGGCAGTAATGTTGCTAGATTGAGCTTGGGAGTGGGGTAGGGGGGAGAGATCAGGGACTTTGAGCTCCAACCTCAGCCCTGGCTCTAGTGAAAGGCACTGCCCTGACCTGGGTCCCACCAGGTGGGCACAGAGACACAGACATGGCAGGGAAAGAAGGAGATGTTCCAGCTCTTACCTTCCCCCCACTCCCAACCCCACCCCCAGGATAAAGTGAAATCACCCCGGGCTGGATGGAACAGGAGGCACCTAGGTACGGATATATCTGCCAGGGTCTAAGGGTCTAGGACTGTGGAGGCGGCTTGCTCAAAGAAATATCACCAGATCTGGGGGCGCACCAGCGCAGGCCTTTTTGTTTCCCCGCCTGCAGTGGAATCCTCAGAGCTGATGGCTCTTGTAGGTGCCTGCTCCTGCACAGCCCGGGTTTCTCTTGCCCCCTTGTGGCGGAAGCCTGTCTAGGCAGTGTGGGAGAAATC